CTCCAGTTTGTCACGCCGGCATCTTCAAAGGCCTCGCGTGCGACTTCCAACATAAGCCGTTGCTGGGGGTCGGCCCGCTCTACCTCGGTTCGCGTCATGGAGAAGAACGACGTATCCAACGCTCCGACGTCGACGCTCTCATCGAGGAAATATCCATACTCGGTCGAGACGGTCCCTGGTTTCTTCGTGTCCGAGTAGTATGAGTCGATGTCATAGCGCGATTGAGGGACGCGACATCGAGCATCTTTCTTTGCGAGCAGGAAATCCCACAGCTCGTCGGGCGTCGTCAAACCCCCAGGGAGACGACATGCCATACCACAGATGGCGATGGGCACTTGAGCACCGCGAAGGACCCCATGGGCCGAAGTACCATTTGTGCCGTTAGTGTGCACACCGTTGGTGGGATGGCCGTTGGGAGTAGCCCCATTGATCGTATTCGAGCCCATTGTTACCCCGTGGCCATTGGTACCGTTACTTTCGTCCATAGTCATTGATGTGAATTAAAAGTAAAAGTTGCTTGCTTCGCAGTCAGTCACCTGGCGGACCATCTCTGCATTTGAGTTTAAAATGACCGTTAACATGATTGTTGCCGACAATGTTGCATGCATTTCCCATGTGCTGGGTTCCGCAACGGCCATGCGTCCCCCCTCCCCCCCGTCCGCTCGCTGGCCGGAACCCGTGTCGGCGACAACCCGCAGCACCTCGGCCGGTTACGCCGATAGGGGACCAGATGAGCCTTAAATGGGTTTTTTATGAATTAGCTCGGCATATTGACTCGATGTATTCCTGACCTTCCTTTCTTTCTCTTTTAGGTGACACAGCACTGGCCGCTGCAGCACTGTCGAAGACTATACCTTTCGCAACCTCACCACCATGGCAGCTAACGGCACAAACGGCAAGGTCGTCTCGGAGATGGTCGCCTGGATCAAGAGCCAGAAACTGATCGCTCCCCGCATGAAAGATGCCCCCACATTCTATCGGAATCTCGAGGAGGCTCTAGATGTTCGACGGTCGACCCAATCTCTGATGACCCGAGGACAAAGCACATGGAAAACAGGAGACGCGATAGACTTCTGCTCCAATGATCTTCTCTCTCTCGGACTCACAGGCGAGCTGCGACGGGAGTTCCTGGCCGAGTTGGCAAAACATCCCGATTTCTCGCTGCATTCCGGGGGTTCTCGCGTGATGGGCGGCAACTACGACTATATCGAGGAGGTGGAGCAGGAGATCGCCGACTTCCTCGGGGCAGAGACGGCCCTCATGTTTAACTCGGGCTCCAACGGAAACATTGCCATCTACACGGCTATCCCACGGCCCGGAGATGCCATCGTGTACGATGAGCTGGTTCACTTCAGCACGCACACAGGCATGGCCGCCTCGCTGGCCACGACCAAGGTCGCCTTCCGCCACAATGACCTTGACGCCTTTCGAGAGGCCATGTCCTCCACCATGGACTCCCATCCCATGCTTCAGGACGGTTCACGCTCGATTCTCGTGTCCGTAGAGTCGGTGTACAGCATGGATGGAGACGTTTGCCCTCTGGTGGAAATGCTCGAGATTGCGCGAGAGATCTGTCCCAAGGGGAACTTTGCCTTCATTGCGGACGAAGCTCACGCCACTGGAGTCGTGGGTCCTAGAGGTGTCGGTCTCGTCAAGCTGCTGGGTCTGGAAAATGAGGTCGCAATTCGCCTGAATACCTGCGGCAAGGCCTTGGCCTGTACTGGATGTAAGATCAATAGACCTGGCAGTAACCCCTTGCTCAAGCGGTACCACTGACGCAATTGTTTGAAGCTGTGGTTCTTGGAAACGCCACGGTCCGGAACATGATGTTGAACTATGCTGGTTCCCTGGTGAATACCACGGCCCCATCTTTCCCGTCGGTTGCAGTCATCCGCGCAGCCTATAACCTGATGAGAACTGGTGCCACGCAAAAGGTATGCAACGTCTGGGTGAAATGACTTAAAAGATTCAATAATGACAAAAAGAAAACCTAGGCTCAGGACAACATACAACATCTCGTCAAATACTTCTTCAAATCCATTACTTCTAGCGACATCTGGGACAAAGCCACCGATATGGGTATCTTGTCGATTCCGGTGGCCGAGGACTATGAGTCGCTGGACTTTGTGACGCACATTGTACCAATCTGGACCCGGCAAAAGTACAACTGGTGGCTCTTTTTTCACCTGCAACTGGCGAAGATCGCCGTTGTCCCCATTGACTATCCCCAGGTTCCCAAAGGCAAGTCTCGCGTCAGGGTCATGATCCATGCGGGAAATACGGAGCAAGAGGTGGATTATCTGGTGGCCACGCTTTGCGACTTTGCGAATGAGATGATCGATATCGAGGAGGGTGGCGAAAAGGGCAAGATACCCAAAGCCGCGCAGGAGATTTATGCGTTGATGGCGGCGAATGCGTGAGCTGAACGTGTGTCTACGTATACTGCAGAAGAGGGCTCCCCTTAGACGTGTTGTCGTAGGAATAGTTTGGATTATCATACTACGAGATGGCTATAGTACCCAAGCGAAGCCTTTCAACACTTTGTAACAGACCTACAAGTAGTCGCAATTTTTCCAAGAACAGCTTCTCAGGCAACTTCACTGGTTTCATTTCATTCCTTAATTAAGGACTTGGAGCTAAGAAATATATATCTATAAGGTGTGTCCAACATCAATCAAACTGAAGCCTACTGTCCTCTGTTATGCTGTCATCACCATTGCCATCCCAACAGCAAATACTCCCACCAGCCAGTTCAACCCCTCCCTGTAAGCAGCAGAGGTAGACTTACTCCCCAGCACCTGGCTCGGCTCATAAGTCTGAGGCGTCTTGCTGTCTACCGTTCCATTCCAGCAATACTCCTTGAAGCACCTGTTACACACCTCCGGCATGGACGTGTTAGTCCGATACATCGACCGCTGCAGAATGGCACACCCCACACAGGTCGGCCAGGACTTGTCGACCGTTGCATTCCCCCGCGTCACCACGTTATATCCATTCGTGATGATCTCGTCACGCTCGGAATCAGAGTACGACAGCTGGAAGGTGGACGTATTGCTGAGCGTGCTGTACGGCGCGTTCGGCAGGTATACCACCAAGGGCGCGGGCGCGGACAGATTCGCCGGATCGCAGCCGAAGAAGGTCGGTCGGGTGTTCAGGCCTAGGTTGACAAAGGTGTTCACGTCCGGCACCGGGGGGAAGACGGTTCCGTTGCCGATTCCCGAGCTATTCAAGCTTCGCTCGTAGGTGGCGACTAGTGCGGAGCCGTTCGGCCAGCTGTAGGCCCCGTTGGCCGACGAGTCCACCGCGAAGATCACGTCGACGTGGCGGACTGGCTGGATGAGCGGGTGCAGCGGGATATTCTGGCCGTCCTCGCCGCCGTCGACGACATCCAGCTCGCGGCTGTGCGAGTAGGCGGCGGTTGAATTGCGATACCCGTAGAACGGGTTCGGGCCGTAGGCGGCGATGTCATCACCGTCCTGGCCCATTGCGGTGAGGATCTTGGAGAAGGCGTCCTTGGCCACGTCGGGGAGATCGGTCTTGTTGAGCCGCAGAATGAACTGGTTGAAGAGCGAGGAGGAGGTGCCCATGACGAAGCCTGCGTTGTCGAACCCGCGGACGCAGGATTCACCGCTGGGGAGCTGGCCGTTGTCGAAGCGCGAGCCGAGGTACTCCAGCGGTGCGAAGCCGAAGATGGAGGGGTCGAATGAGCCAAACTCCCACGGATTGAACTCGTAGACGGTTGAGTTGCTGCCGACCAGCAGCTCCCCCGGGTTGCGGCCGTCGGCCACCAGGATGGGGAGCGGCATCTCTCCACGCTGGAAGGTGTCGGTCAACGCTATAGACGACCAGGTGTAGCTTGGTCCTCCATTCCCGGTGGGATCATTGATGAACTGGTAGGACAGAGCGCGGCCCCAGTAGTCCGTTAGCGAGGTGTTGAAGCCCGCGTTGCGTTTACCATCGACTGCTGTAAGCAAATCCTTCCAGTAGTCGGCTGTGGATAGGAACTGCAGGTGTTTGGCCTTGGGCCCTTCCAGGATAGACGTGGAAAACTGCCAGACATTCCCATTACCCCCGGATTGGAGGTCCGAGATGGTCGTGAAGTTGTTCAAATACACTGACCCCACGAGCCATCCTCCGCCGCTCAGTCCGGATACATATGTCGCGGACTGCAATAGACCACCGAGATGTCCAGACTCCGTCGAGCCATGTGTTCGGTCGTCAAAAGCTTTTATAGCTCCAGCTCCATTGGTCAGAGCACGGTATCCACCCCCTGAAACGGCGATCGCGATATTAGGCAGGTTAGATGCGTCACTGGACACGCGGTCGATGTAGCTCGCTGCGTCGAAGGTGAGGTTGAGTCGCCCGAGCAGGTCTTTCATGGGCTGGATGGTGTTGTTGCGACGAATCTCAAGCCAGGCAGTTTCATTCGGGGAAAGCGACCCTGCACCTCGAATGCTGGGTCGTGTCGCTGGACAAGACACATTTGCCGGAGTATAGCCATCGGGAGCGTTGGGGAAGGCCCGGATTGACAGGTCGAGAGGAGCGGCCGTAGCTACGGCTAGGGCCGTTAGAAGGGAGATAACGGCCTTCATATCGGTGCCTTTGGTTATCTTCCAGGAGTGGACATTGCCAAATGTGCAGATAGCTAAGATGGACGTAGTAGATATACTCTGTTCTCGGGCTCAGGACATACTTCCGGAATAGCCGTAAAGCATCATCGACCCATCTCCGGATGGACCCTCTCCACGAATCGGGTGGATACAGTCGACAAACCGTGGAACTTCCAGAATAACTGCCAATCATTCAGGGCTCGGTGCCCGCGGGACTGTGGGTCATGTAGGGCTGATTCAAAGGATTTGTCGTTAGGGGGGCTGAACATTAGGCAATAACATTCTCCATTTGCTGCTTCGGGTAATTTATGCACATTGTCTAGGCAGCACTATTCAACGGTATTCAGCCACATGTGTTTCGCGCTCATTCTGTAATACTAGGAAAAACGGTTACAGAATGTATCGGAAACCTGGATTCTCCACTTCATGGTCCCTCTCCTGCTCCTCCAGCCTCTTGTTCATCCGCACATGCACCATCCGAATCACCCACGCCAGCACTGCCACCAGAACAGCAACCACCGCGGTCGCACTACCCCCGGGGACATATCTTGGTCCAGACGACGAAGGCCACATATAACTACCATAAATCGTCGCCGTGTTCCCGATCATATTGGCCGTCGCGATAGCTGCCGAGCGCTTGACCAGCGGCCGGGGGAATGAGTTGGCCACCCAGGCAATGATGATTTGGTAAGCTGACACAGCGCCCATGGGCATCCTACCGTTGTCAGTATCTCTCTAATTTTATCGGATGTAAGTAGCGTACAGAAACATGGCGAAAAACCTGGCACCAATATTGGTCGTGGCTGTGCAGATGATACAACCCACGGCGCTCACGCTCATCAACCCGATGATGTGCCAACTGCGGTCGTTCGTCCGTCCAGAAGTCCAGGTCACCAACAGGGACACAAGGAACGTAGCAATCCACACGGGCGCAGTGATCAGCAGGGTCTCGATACTCCCGTAGCCCAGTGTTTTGACGATCGTCGGGAAGAAGTATTGAAAAGTCTGCGACAGCAAAGAACTATGCTGTAGCAGGATAAAGAGATAGATTCGGCGGTCCCGGAACACCATCGCCAGCGCGTCCTTGATGCTGGCGGCGTTTGTATCATCGGCCTCGCCGGCATCGTTGATGAGACGCCACTGAGCATAGGCCTGTTCAGTCTCGTCCAACCAGGAAGTGGTCGCCGGGTAGTTGGGAAGCGAGACGGTCGAGAAGAGCGATACGCCGACTGTGATGCTACCCTCGATGATGAACAGCCATCGCCAGCCCGCGATCCCGTGAGCCCCGTCCAGATTACCCAGTACACCCGCGCCTATGAGGCCGCCAAACGCGTTGGCCAGGGAGCTGCCGGCGTAGAACCAGGCAATTCGATGGCTCAGCTACTTTGATTAGTACCTTCTTGGATGCAGAGTCTGCAGTCATACCTCCTGCCTGGTATACCAACTCGACCTACAAAATCAGCACGTGCATACTAGGCTTGAGGTGTATACGCACATCAACATGATCGCCCCCGGAAAGAAAGGCGCCTCCACAAACCCTAGGAAGAATCTCGCAAGAACCAACCCGGTGAACGAGGTCGTTCCTGCCTGAGCTGCGGATATTATGCCCCTGACTGGTCAGACCGACTCGAGAAACCAAGAGGGAACATACCAGATCGCCATTGCACCACCCAGCAGCCACGACGGCTTCACGCGCGTCAGCAGCAGATTAGACGGGAGCTGCATGAGCAGGTATCCGACGAACAAAATACTTGTCGCCAGGTTGAAGTCGGTCCCTGTCATCCCCAGGTCTTTTTCCAATGTCCCAAGTCGGGCTTGTGAGAGATTGCTTCAAAGAGGTCAGCTTGATTTTACTCTGAGGCAAGGAAGCATACTTTCGATCCAGGAAGTTCAGCAGATACATCACCACCAAGAAGGGCAGGAGATGCAGATCCACCTTTCGGAGTAATCGTCGGGTCATCTGCTGGTGCCATTCAGGGCCCTTGGAGGCGTAGGCCTCGTACAGGGCGTCCGAGGCATTCTCAAGCTTCGTCTGCGAAAGTTCCACATGTTCAGTCGGTGATTTCGACATGTTGGCTGTCGCGTTGGTTGCTGATAGCTATGACAATCCTTGTCTTAGAAGCAGGACTTCTTAAGAGTATACGGCCCGGAGGATGTCCGAGATCAACATAAGGACCACAAAAGCCGAACAATGCGGGGATGCGGGGCCGGGGTAATGCAGTCCGAGTATCTTTTTCCTTTCAGAGTGATTGTAGGTTCTTGAGTAAACCCACAATGCGAGATCGTCCTGGCGATCTGGCACTTTCTACCGGTAAGGCTCGCCTCGTCTCGGAGTTCGTCCCGATTCTCACGGCCAGAAATCCGACTTAGCTCAACGATGTATGACAATATCAGACAAATACATGCAAGGTACCGGCACCACGATAAAGCTTCGAAATCATCGGTTTCTCAACGCGAGATTCCTCCCATTCATTCCCCATAGAGGAGCCTCGGGAACGTCAAGTACGTAGGGGTACCATGCCGAGAACGACTGTAGAGTACCAACCTGGAGTAGACTATCGCTCCCAGTAAGTGCACGGCATTGGTCTGGTGTGGGAGAATAGTCCTGAGGCATCAGATAATGCGCCTTGTGTGTAGGTGAGCTCGAATGGCATCTACTCCTCCGATCCATTTTGAAGAAGCGGGCTGGCGAGGATGTCGCTGACACGCCTGCCAGCCGGTCTGGTATTTCAATTTTCTACTTAATTCCTTGATAGGAGTGTCAGCGGTCTGTATTTTCCACACAGAATGTGTGTAACCGGATCACGGTATTATACGCATTTGCTGTGTTGGATGACAATGGAGGGCTCGACTCCTAGACCGCGTGTTGAAGTGCAGTCTCACGCGGCTCCCAAAGACACCGGCATCCAAACCCTTTGCGATATTCGAGACATCGAAAAGGTTCGAGTTTGAGTCTAGGAGCTTACCATCTATTCTGCGACATTGTCGAAAACTACTTAGGTGAATTTTTGGCTCTATAACCCTGGTTGGGCAGGAAATCTCTTGTGGAGGAGCAACACACCTGCAAATGATCGAGTTTTGCGTAAACTTGTTGCATTTCTACAGTGGAAGCGTGAGCTAGGTTCTCGAAGCCCCGGTGAAGTGTATAAAAGCTGCTAAATGAGCTACATCTCGGAATTGATACTACCTAGCAATAGTATTCCCCTAGGACTCTGTGCCACTTAATAGATCATAGTAAAGTAATGAAAAGAATGTACTTGATTCAGTAGTTTTTCTACCTATACCGAAGCAAAGTAATTCGTATCCTCTCACTTCACATGTATGTTGAATACTCAGTACGCGATAATATCACCATATACAAACCTCAAGAGGCTCCAATCCATTTCCCCTTTATCTTCAAGACATCCACCTCCCCCAAGCGGCATCACAAATCCATAATCAAAAACACCAATGATAGCTCGACGAACAAACATGGCAATCACTATATGTGCGACACAAAGCATGGGTATGACAGCGCGGGTGAGAGCAAGTAGCAGCCGCATTATCACCCCTAGGCACAACATCGGCCCCGTCATCCAGGTTATCGGCATGAATTCTCCTCGCTTCTTCCATAGAGGCGTCCAATTCTTCGCATAGGGAATCCGACGTAACAGCCAAGACGGCGCCGTCGTGGTCGAGCAGGTAGTAGCCCCCGTTTCTATCGTCCAGGGTCCCCATGGGATATTGGTCCGCCATGTCGTTCAGTTGTTTGCGCGTTTCGAGGACGGGGATTCCCTCGGGGATAGGCTCGGTGTATCTGGTTGTAGCCATGGCGAGATTGCTGGCGATGAGAAGGGATAGAATGGTAAAGATGTTGATTCTCATTGCTGATCTGAGTCAATGTGAGTTGGGAGGATGAGATTTTTGGAGCGAGTATGTAGTTTCACTAGACTGGGGGATTCGCAAGTAATTCAGGAGGATTGGAGGGAAAATGAAAGTCCTGATCATAGGAGACGTTGGACTCTCGTCTCCTGGCTTTTATAGCAAGAGAATCCCTTGATCAGGCCCCCCATCCACGTCCTTTCTAAATGAGAGACCACCGTGGAAGTGAGTCAGAAACCAACAGAATCAGGGTACAGTATCCAATCCAAGGTGTGAGCAGCGGTTGTTTATCTATGTACGGCTCCCTACGGGAATCTAAGCCAGGGTCAAGCCCACTAGACTTGCCAATATCCAACAAGAAATGCAGTAGCGTCTGTAGGACCCCAACCGGACAGGGATGTCCAGGGAAAAGTCTTACATTGGACGATAACGACCAGGTTTAAGCTGGTTGCCTGAACATAGTCTTAGAATGCTTGCCTCGGATGTAACCTTATTATCAACAATTACTTCAGAGTTCATATAATAGTATGTACTGAGAAGTTTGCAGGTATTGTTTCTGAAGACGCATAATCATGATCTTAGACGAGGCTCTGACTGGTAAGATAATGCTGTCATACATTAAGATCTCGCTGATTATGTTGAATGATCTGTTATTACCTACAGTTTTTACCTGGTATGTCTACAGTCGTTCCATAGAGTTGTATTTAATAATGTGAGAGCACCAGTGTACACAATCGCTTTCCTTTATCTTCCCGCATATAAAAGGTATGTAGCTTTCTTTGTCAAAGAGGACCATGGCAGATCCGAAAAAACATGACATCCACAGATATATATCTATATCACCACACATATTCACTACTAAGGAATGTGTCATGAACAACCAATCTATCACAATAAACTACTAAACATGCAACGATACACACAACTTGTAGAATGATATCCAAGAGCTCAAATTCCCTACACAAGCTGGTCTAATTCCTCATGGGACGAAGAAGCGACATCGGCACTACCACCTGTCAAGGACTCATTCTCAACGGTCCGTCCAGGGCACAAAGATAAGCATCGGAAACTAAGACTGTGCCAGACAACGGGTACTGGTTCCTTGGCTCCACCACTGCCGGAGCCGTTCTCTATTCTGTCAACACTGCCACTCGACTGTCCCCAATCATTGGACGACAGGTGGGATATCTAAGGTATGCCAGCTCGATAGTCCATACGAACCTTCTGGTCGTGATAGACCAAGGTTGCTTGTCTTTCGTCCAGCCCTAGTACTCTATCCAAAGCAATGTCCCGGCCCAGATGCTATCTCGTAGACTCTCCGAAAGATCTGCATCACTAATGATGGCCAGGGTGACGAAATCTAGGAGGCTCCCTCCTCATGAAAGGGTTGGTAAGTCAATATCATGTGGCCAATAAGCGTAAGCATTTGGCAGAAAATGGTCTGCACGGCGGGAGAGACCGGTCAGAATCCGCTATCCAGGTGCCACGCCCAAAATATGCAGGGATATACGCTTTTATAACGTCTACTTCATATACCATCTTCTTTCATTTTAGTCTGTAGAGAGTTTAATGTTGTGCAATAGCAGCGTCATTATTGCCATATCATCTCATGAGCACGGAGATCTATTTTCTTAGTATATGCAGTTCCTCTTTTGCGTCAGCCAGGTTCCTTGGTGTCAAGTATCTTCAATCTAGCTAATCCTCTGTTAATCTATCAGATAATCGAAATACTTATATCCACACTCCACATGGATAAACATCAAAGTGGCCCATCAGTGACACAGCCATGGCTAGCGTCACTGACAAGAGCTGCATACTTCTTTAGAGTGCCTTTCTTTGCCCGAGGTTCAGGCGCTTTCCATGCCTTCTTCCTCCTCTGCATCTCTTCTCCGGATATATCCAGATCAACCACCCTCTTCTCTGCGTCGATAATCACCCTGTCCCCATCTTTGACCAGGGCGATTGGACCACCATCCATTGCCTCAGGAACAATATGACCGATTAGGAATCCATGACTGCCACCAGAAAATCGACCGTCGGTAAGGAGGGCGACATCCTGACCCAGTCCGGCACCCATGATGGCGGCACTAGGCTTGAGCATTTCCGGCATACCTGGACCACCCTTTGGCCCCTCGTATCGGATAATAACAACTGTCTTTTCACCCTTCTTAATTTCTCCCTTTTCAAGAGCATCCACAAAGGCATCTTCATAGTCGTAGCACTTGGCACTGCCTTCAAATCGGAGACCCTCTTTACCGGTGATCTTACCAACGGAGCCTCCAGGTGCCAAGGATCCTCGCAGAATTTGAAGGTGACCCGTGGGCTTGATGGGATCGCTCAGTGGCCGGATAATGGGCTGATCTTCAGGGAAATCAGGCCAAGATGCAACATTCTCCTTCATTGTTTTGCCGGTCACAGTAATACCAGACCCGTCAATCAAGCCCTCCTTGAGCAGGAACCGGAGTAGGGCCGGTGTGCCGCCGATCTTGTACAGGTCATGCATGACATACTTTCCTGATGGTTTTAGGTCGGCCAGAAATGGCGTCTTGTCAGACACAGCTTGGAAATCATCAATGGTGAGCTTAATTCCCACAGATTGGGCAATGGCAATCAAATGCATGACTGCATTGGTGCTACCTCCCAAAATATTGACCACGATCATTGCGTTCTCAAATGCTTGGCGGGTCAAAATATCCGAAGGCCGGATATCTTCCTTCAAGAGGTTCTTGACTGTTTCTCCAATCTCTTCACATTCAGCTTTCTTGCGCGGATCTTCTGCGGGGCAGCTACTACTGCCTGGAACCGTGAGCCCGAGAACTTCAATAGCTGTGGCCATGGTATTCGCTGTATACATGCCACCACACGCACCACTTCCCGGGCACGCATGGCGAATGATGTCAAAGCGCTGTGCTTCATCTATCTGACCAGTAATGTATTGGCCATATGACTGAAAGGCGCTCACCAGATCCAAAGTCTGGCCACCAGCGCTGCAACCAGGCTTAATACTACCACCATAGATCACAATGCTCGGACGGTTGACCCGGCCCATGGCCATAACAACACCGGGCATGTTCTTATCGCATCCTGGAAGTGAGATATTCGCGTCATACCACTGCCCGTTCATGACCGTCTCAATGCCGTCCGCGATGATCTCACGACTCTGCAGACTGTATCGCATACCGCTCGTGCCCATGCTGATTCCGTCGGAAACGCCAATCGAGTTAAAACGCATTGGAACCAGGCCGGCCCTGGCGACCGAGTCGCGTACCACCAAGGACAAGTCCATCAGGTGCATGTTGCAAGGGTTTCCCTCAAACCACACCGAGGAGATTCCCACCTGGGCCTTGTTCATATCCGCTTCCTCCAAACCAGTCGCATACAGCATTGCTTGCGAGGCACCTTGTGATTTGGGTTGTGTGATCTTGGACGAAACTCTGTTCAATTTGGCATCCGCATATCGACGAGATGTGGTGGAGAGGAGACGACTGTGATTGTTAAATTCATTGAGGTTAGACTTGAAATAAGCAGGAAAAGAAAAGGTTAAAAGGTACGATGAGGACAGTGTAGTTACCCATGCACTGGTTTTCTTAGATGCCCTTGACGACTCAGCATCAGAACTCTGGACTGAAACGCGTGTAGAACCATGACGATTGCTCTTGAAGTTGAGAAGGCAAAGGAAGGAAAGATCAATTGAGGTATCGCTTTTGTAGGTATGAACCACTTATGTCTGTTTCCAAAACACACTCCTCGATGGTTGACAGAGTGGTTAAAGGAATTTGCGGGATGTGTCATCGCCAGCCAGGGGATACTCGGTCGCAAATAGGAGCAGTCAAGCTGATGGCCAACTAGTGGCTTCAGGCCTCGAATATATCAGCAACCAATCATTTGCAACATATGGATGCCAATGCTTTGTCTCACCATCAATAAGATCCCTGATATTACGATTAGGGAGCCCTTATTCGTCCAATTATCGCCGATGAATGCGGTTGATTAATAGCTGGACTGCTCACAATAGTCTCCTCCGGAGAGAAGGCGTCAAGTCCGGCGACCCACTGAGATGCCATCTGTCGCTTAGCACGGATACTAGTAGGTAAACTTGGCTTTGCTTAGCCTGTCAGGCTCCAGATTGACTTTCGGTCCACTCCGCGGAGTCAACGGAAAGAAACCCGAATGGCCTTAACTCTCCAAGATGTGGAAGGTTTGGCACTGGCTGCAAAGCTCAGAGTGGGACGACGGACTCTTGTCTTCCTAAGGCTGCGGCAGCACGCACACAAGTCCGGAGTGAGACATCTTCCACATCACCTATTCAATGAGTTCTCCAACACGCATGAAGAGTTGATCGGAAGCAACTGCACGTCCGATGAAGGGGATATTCCAATCCACGCCTGGATTAGAAAACCGAACTTGCAGTGGACGTCGCATCCAGCACGTCAGCATCCCTCCCTTATATGGCAGACCGTCCAGCAGATTTTCATCCATTCTAGTGATCATTACTGATCCCTTCGTGCCGTCCCGACCGTGCGATCTCCTTCTCATCGAGTCTGAACCGGCGTCAAATTTTGAGCAAACGCGAGAGAATATGTGTCTTCGGGGCAGCGAGTCGGGTTGGATATAAATAGAGATTAAACTTGACAGTCAGTATTCGGGACCATATTAGCGTAGGAATATAGGATGGGAGTTACCTCCAAGTTGATCAGCATGAATGCGAGCAGCAAGTGGTGTGATGGCTTGGAAGTTTAGTTGCTTGCAAAGTTCTCAACGAATAAATTCCCCAGCGCCATCACTCATGCGGCTAAGCTGCCCTTATACGTTTTGCGACCGGCATTTACAGCGAGTCAACTTCCCACTGACATCAGTCCATTCAGTTGTACCATCATCGGTAGCACTGCACACTGATATCTGTTATCCTTGCTGTCAACACAGGAAAAGGAGATCACGGAGCAAGTAGGAAAGGCCCCGATAAACGGCGTCTCTGACCCGCACCTTTTCTCACTTGCAAGCGGGGAAGTGGGAACAGGTTGGAGGTTACTGGGCAACTTCTCTTCAAGGCAAGCAACTTCCCCAGATGCGATCGTGGGAAGCTCAAGGAGACTAATGGAGAGCTATTGGATCGAGCGAGATTGGGGGGAGCCGATATTGGGAAGAGTCCAATGCAAGCAATATCGACTACACTCAAGAGGGTCACGAGGTACGACCACAGTACAGGAAGTTTCATATATCACGATGATCATTCTGCAGAATGATATCCACTATTTTCTTGGATGATCAAGCCAGATGGCCACATCGCTGTCAGCGGCGCCACCTCTTTTGCTGGACCGGTAGAGTTGCACACTCTCAATATATTGCTCCCATGAGGATTCCAGTGATGATAGTTCATCTACTTAGCTAGATTTGGGCCAGAATTACGAATATGCTTCGGATATATTCGTCCTATCATTGTGTAAAAACGCTTCGACCCGTCTAACACGGGCCGAGACAAACGCAAGACAACATGGGGTAGACATCAGCCGGAAAGTAGGCAGCGAAACATCACGAGACAGTAGCAGTACTGATACTTCATCATTTACATAGTGATGCCTTGAATCGCAAGAGACAGATACCATCCGTGGCTGACCGAACCCATCGCTGGGCCCTGCCTATTGCGTACCTCAAGGGAACAACCAGCGGGGCAAGTGGTCTCCCCAACCCCAGTAGTTCTGGGCGCTCAAGGGATGAGCATCGCAATGGCGTACATCTTCGGGGCTTGCGCCTTCGGGGAGGTCATCCGGATCATAGTACATGATTCCTAGACGTCCACATTCTTCTTCCGTGGCGCCTGGGGCGGGAAGAAGAATACCCCATGCGATGGAGGTTGATCCAAGGAGTAAGATGAGGTTATGAGGGAGCTTCATGCCGATGTTTTCTAATCTGTAGCAAACAGTCAGTACCTTTCTATTCTGTAAGTGAACGGAAAGGGAAGGGCTATACTGATATAGTGTTTTGGGAAGGGAAGTTGTAACCAAACTGAGCAGAAAACGAGACGTAGCGCCTATGTATACCCTTTTACTGTTTAGATATCGTAATAGGTTAGTCATAAGAGGGATATATGGCAAGCAGAACCTCCATACGTAGCATTGACTCATTGGTTAGCTTTCTCTTCTACCTTATTGGGTCCTCAAGTACTCCATACGGGGCGGTGCAATACTAAGGCCATTAAAGGTAACAGTGACCGGGGTTCTGAAGCTAAGGATAGATTAATGGACCAAAGACTAGGCAGATACATATTCTGTTGGGCTGTCCAAGACCCTGACGGCCGCTAAAAGCATTAGCACTCGGAGACTTCTCAACGTAAAATCCTCCCTCTACTTGATCTCGGCCAATCCGCCACGTACTTCCTTTGAATCACTGGGGCCTTGGTTATCATAGATATAGAAGGATCTTTGTCACTGGGGGGTTATTCTCGTCTGATACCGCAGTCCGGGTAGGAGCGAATCCGGTCAGCCTGGTATAAACGTGCCTTCAGATGCTGTCGTGTGACCATATCAACCCGTCCCTGCGACGTCATTGCGATATCCACGAGTGTTAGGATGTACTTGCAGTCTACACGAATCTACGAGTTCAGAAGACTACTGTGAACATGGTTCCTCATCCATCCCTTTCCGAACCATTCCTTGGTCCTGAAGTACAACTCCTGCCCATTGGGCGTTCAAATACAAAGGAGTTGAAATATTATACACTAGACTGAGGGCATATCACTTTTAGAGTCCAGTGGCGTTATTTTAATGCAGTACTTATGAGCCTGCGAGGTCAGAGCCGAACCCATGATTGATTCACTTTTAAGGCTAATCAGAGCATACTCCATGCATGTTACATCAGATATGTCCGAGACCATGCAGTAGAAGTAGTCTAGTGTCCCTGGCTAGGTGACTATAGATGCCAAGCTTAGCTGCGTTAATTTCAATATAAGCCCGAGACATCTAGAAAGTTGATTTGGGTTTAGGGCAACGCAGTTGGCCATAACACTTAGGGTACACTGCGTGGCGGTTAGATGAAATAGAGCTAATTGTGGAATAATAACCTCTGGGTTAGATAACATGTTCAGTCTTATCTGATGCTGTGGTATGTAGGTGAATCATCTTTCTTTAGGAGCCGTTGCTACATTTCTTTAAGCTCTTATGCCTATATCTTAAGGTGAATATCTATCTTAGAAATTCAACGCCAACCCAGTACCTATGTCCTCCGGCAGACGTCTGCTGTATGAAGTCTTTATAGTCTTGTCATAAGCTGTTTGATGAAGTTAGATTTGCTCTGTTAGGAATGTTTGCTACCCCAGCTGGCCCGGCGATGACCCAGTATCACTAGCCCATTTGAGGGGTGTTCGTTGGAAACTAATTCCCTGGGGCCGGTGTCACCGACCTGCCAAGGCATTATACCGTTATATGGTTATACAGTTATAAAATTATTTCAATCTCCAAGAACTGTTCTACGTGTCTACAGCAGCAACCCCTATGTCTGTTTGAATTCGAACTCAGCATATTTGACCTTGAAAGCATTGCTCTTGCTCCGCGGACCAACAATCTGTTGGACACACAAAGTTGAAAATGGAAGAGTTGCATCTCGGCCCTGCTAACGAGGTCACGGTTTCCAAATTATGATTTCTGCGTCAGCCAGTGTATCATTATTACTGTGCTAAAATGCCATTCAACTCCGCTCCATCCTAGCATGCTTCAGCTAAAGGAGAGGCCTGACAGGGTTTGAGGCATGGGAAATTAAGTCAAGTCAGTCCATCCTGCACGGCTTCAGGGTCTGTGCGAGCCGATTTGATCGTCTCTGGTCCTTATAGCGTCCTTTGTGGTCTACCAAGGGGACAACGATGGGGCATAAAGAGGGCTCGAGAACCACCTTTCTGTCTTCCTCGTTGTCTCCATCCCCAAGTCCTGACTCTCTTCCATCCATTGATCCAAGGGCAGAAGCACCGCTCTCTATTGACTGAGATTCCGATTCAAAGACCCATGTAGGTCTAACCCGCATTTCAACCAGCACCAAGGTACTGACCTGACACTTGCCTCCAGCCCATCCACCATGAAGCTGTCCATCGACACACTCCTGGTCGCAGCAGCCAGCGTGGTTCTCGGAGGCACCCTCGTGCCAGTCACCGACAACCCCGAAGAATGCGGCAGCCTCGTCGTGATGTACGACCCAGACGCTCTCCGAGGGAGCCACTGCGGCAGACGTCCGCAAATGCGACGGCCACCTCTGGGCCGCCATCGCCCAACTGAGGGTGCATCGCTGGCCCCGTGGGATGCAGCGCTCGAATTGGCCCAGAGCGGCGCCCCTGGCCTCGAGGCTCGGGCCAAAACGCTTACTACCTTGATGCGCCTTATGGGTGCTCTGGCGGGTTCTGCTGGATGGCCTGTGGCAACACAGGCAGAGTGAATGGTGCCGGACTGCTACGTTGGGTGGAACGGGTAGCTACATCGCATGCAAAAGATGGCAGGACTGCGGGACCTTCAGTTATGCCTGTTCCCATGGCATATCTCCGGCTGCTGGTTGTGGCTTCTAGATGTCTGTCGGTCTGTCCTCGGTAGTCAAGGCCTTTAGGACGCCAGAGCTTTTGTCTGGGCAGTGAGCAGTGAGCTCAATAAGGGGTCTTGTGCTTGATGTGTTGTTTCAGAGAGGGTCGCCAGTACAGACATGCTATTCTAGGGATCATTACTACCTAGGTAGTTCTAGGGTAGTCACTAAGGCGTGTTTATTGATTTGCTATTCCCGTTTGGTAGAGTAATGACACCATGGTTGAAGTTTCCATGTCTAACTAACCAATCAATGACCCAGATCTTATACCAAATTTCCCGTATCTAAACTCAATCTATCCCAGTCTTCTGATTTATCCAATCAGACCGGACAGATTCATGCAGGCGGGGTCAGGCATCCAATAGCGCGGATCACTGCGGGGTCTGATAAACCACCATATATAACCCCTCTACCCCTGATCCCACCTTCTCATCCTTCATCTCAACACTCCAAGAATACCAAATTTATATCTGAAAAGAAAATGGACAAACTCTCCGGTCTCGCATCCAAGCTCGGCGGAAGCCAATCCACATCCGCCAACCAGACCCAGGGAGAGCCACAGCGCCAGCAGGAGGATTTCGTCGATAGGGGTACATACCCTCCTCCGCCGCTGAAGACGTATGCTAATGATACAGGCCTCGACGCTCTTGAACAGCGCTTCGGAGGCGGCAAGATCGACACCGCCAAGATGCGCTCGACGAATGAGAAGATCACCGATGCCGCTCGGGAGCAGTTTGAGAAGGCTACTGGGTAGGTTCATTCCTGTCATAGAGTACAATGGCTAATTGGAGCAGATACAAGGTTCCCGAGAAGTTCTCTAATTAGTCCAGTGATTATGTTATGATTTGATGTGATATATCCTGTGTATAGCAATCGCGAGGCTAGAAACGCTTCTTCACAAACGAATTCAGTATCCCCTCAATAGCCGACCCGGTTCCCCGGGGCGAGTACTGCGCAAGCAGCATGGTGTGCGTGCGACACGTCTGCAGATTTGTCTGCACCAGCGACGGAACGGCCATCCCCGCCGCCTGGTACGACTCCACCAGCCGCTCGTAGTACTTTGACGCCTCGGTATACTGCTGCCGTGCGAGGTGCATCTGCGCCAGCATATCCAGCATGGACTGCACGTCGGAGCTGTCCTTGCCCTTGTGCGTCTCCGCCCACGAGAGGTACCGCGTTAGCCACGGCCCCGCCATCTCCAGCTTGTTGTTGTTGCTCCCCGGCACCATGAACGTGATGTAGTTCCCCCCGTCGCTGTGTAGCGTGTACATGATCCCGATGGCGGCGACCAGGGCCATCGACTCCGTGTGGTCGGGTCCGAGCGTTTCCTCGGCAATCGCCAGCGCCCGCCGCAGGGTTTCCGACGCAGTAGTGGAATCCTGCTGCAGCATCTGCAGGATCCCCTGCAGGCGCACCGCGCGCAGCGAAAGCGGATGCCGCGGCCCGAGGAGGTCGGTCACCTCGCGGGCGATCTTGCCCGTTTGCGCCGTCGTGTTGGCGATATCCCCGCTGAAGCGCATCTCGAGGAGCCTCTCGGCGCTCTGCGTGCGCGACGTGATCACCACCTCGACGGTGTCGAGCGCGGAGGCCAGCACGCGGATGTGCTGCGGGCCGAGAATGCGATGCAGCGCCTCGTGGCGTTTTTCGGCGATGTTGATTGCGTTCTGCTCCTGGCCGAGATTGCTATACGCCATGCTGAGGCGTCGGCGCGTCTCCAGCGTGTCGAGGTCGTCATCGCCGATGCTCATCTGCTGGCGTGCGAGGACGTTGGCGCACACCGACTCAGATTCCTGGTAGCGACCTCGTGCGCAGAGGATTTCGCCCATTAGGCTCTCGGCTCTCAGGGTCAGTGGGTGCCGGGGGCCCAGCGTCCGCTGACCCTGGTCGGATACCCACTTGCACCATTCGGTTGCTTTGGGGAGGTACGAGGCCTCGAGGTCGATCTCGGCGAGATTGTAGCCCACCACAATCGTGCTGTTGTGATCAGGGCCCAGCGTCCGCAGGTGTTCCTGGAAGATGGCATACTCCAGGTTCCGGGCTTGATCCCAGCGTCCGGCGTTCTTGTGTTCGGCCGCCTGGACGGAACGTGGGTCGCTGTCGACTGCCGTGTACAATGTTCCCACGATGCGTTGGCCGGTCGTCTGAGGTGTGGCACTAGGGTAAGGCGAGCTGCTGTTGGTATGCATGCGCGGAGGTAGCGGTGGGCCCGGATGGGGCGACGTCGACTGTTGCGGGATGTATCCTTGTTCGGCGACGAGAACTTGGTCGACGATCTGCTTGATGTTGCCCTTGATAAGTTTATACATGGGGCCGCGTGACCCGATTTTGCACATCTGCGAGTGGTCGGCGTCGAGTTTTAGTCGGGTTTCCCGATTGCCGGGGAGGCCCAGCACCGCCGACTCTTCGTCCACAACCAACTATCTTCTTTAGTACTTGGTTATTAGCACTAGAGGGAGTCTTACATGGCTGACAGACGCCGGCCCTGCGCCCCCAATCAATACTTCCTTGCCCTCCACGAAACTCACGACCCGGTAGTCCTCCAGCTGGTGACTGAAACGGCTGGACATCTGTCGCGTGAAGAGCGAATTGTATTCGAGACAATCCAGCAGCTCATTACTCGCATGTCCTTTCGATACGAAGCGGGCGACCTTGGCAGCGATCTTACCGACTTCAACACCTTTCGCGCCACGGTGCGGAGTCCCAAAGAACACCAGTCCGCAGGTTGCCAGCCGGATAGCCGTATACTTGGGATCTTCATGCGCATTGAGCAGGGCCTATCACATTAATCTCACTCTCCTCACGCCAGGCTCCGTCAGTTAGCCTACCTGCTTAATCACCAAACCCCCCAGACTATGCCCGATGAACACAATCTTCGGCGGACGCGTATTCTACTACCATCAGCTCCGCACCCCGTCAAATAAAGCTAGACGTACCAGCTGCGGACTCCTCTCCATATTGAGCAAATTCAACAGCGTATTCGCATGATCCTTCACACTCGCCGTCGACATGGCCTGCGGATTCGTCACGTTCGAGTTGTATCCATACACGAACACCCGCGCGTGCGGGATATCCTGCGGCAGGTAATCCCTTGGCCAGAAAGTGCCGTTCTGATGGCGCCATGTTTCGTAGGGGTGGTCACTTCTGCCACGAGGGTTGAGGCCATGGACAAACACAAAGCTACCTCCTTTTGTCAGCTTCTTTCGTGCACACAAGATGAGGAAGGATCCGTACTCAATCTTGGATTGTGAGGGAGGGGTGTATACCTCCTCGAGGAAGGGGAATTCGTTTTCGGTTTCCTGTTCACTGTAGCTTAACATCATGTCCACTGTATAGGCGTAGGGGACATACCATAATGCTTTGGAGAAAGGGACATGATGGTGATTCTGGGAGGGGCAGAAAATGAAATACGCCCCGTCCTCAGCCGCACGCGATCCATCATCCATCTCACCATGTGATATCTCAGTCGCAGATACGAGGCGCGGGGTCGGCTGGAATTTCCAATTTCCTCGTCAGCACTACTTTGGTGATATCCCAGATTGACCAGGGTTGGATTGGCTGTGTCTTTCTTGGCGCATCCCGCGGGACGAAAGAGGATAGCGGGATTTCCTAATCGGAGTAAAATTGGCGAGATCTATATCACGATAACTATGCACTAGGGGCTTATATCATGCCTGGCGAATTGAAGCTTCTGCTGGATCCTCCTTGCTCTTTAGATTCTGCAGACAAGGTGCGTAGAAAAGACTCCCACGCCATGCGCCGTGCACTGTTCGGGCGGCTACGACCAGCCACAAGAGGACGACGGCCACACTGAGTATCTATCTCATTTAGTATTTAAAGTTTGCTAAATGTTGATATATGCTTACCATCCCAAAGATCTTGAAAAACATCAGATCCAGCTGCTGACCCAGCAGGAGGGTGTTCGCCGCATACACGCCCAGCGGAAATGTGAATCCCCACCAGCCCATATTGAAAGGGAATGGGGACGCATGATAGATAGTCGCCAGGGCAAATACAAGCCATATCAGCCCGAAACTCCACATAAGCAGCGAGATGAAGAGTCCCATGGTGTACGCGACCGATCCCGCCATGGGGTCGATCGCTTCGTGAGTCTCGACGACTTTGCGCAGAACTTTCCCAAGATACAAAATCCTATTGTCGTCAGATCAAATTATACAACAGGAAATAAGGACTTACCCGAATCCGCCAAAGCCCAGCGGTCCCAGCGGCAAGAAACAACTGACAATCGTCTCCCGGGACGGCAGCTTATGCACCGCCAGACGCTGGTAGTATATGACCAAAATGGTCATCGCGAGAGGCGTTCCCATACCCCAGAGGATATAAGAGACAAGCACGGTACCCATGGTATGCTGCGGATTTGGCAAGATCTCAGCAACCTCCGCCCCGGTCCCTGCCGCGACGATCGTCGCCGCGATGGGGAGCAGTTGCAGCGCAGTGATGCGTTCTAGCGACGTAATATACGATTGCGAAATCCTATCATCGTCAGCCTTTTGCCAGCAAATGATCAGTGGCTGGAAATACAGAACGAACGACAATGACACTGTCACCGACGCAGCCGCCACCGCATCGACAATCCACAGCACCCACGCCACCGTCCTCGTCCAGTCCCCCCAGGCCGGCACGCAGACGAACACCCACATCTCGATCAGCGTCGCAAAACCCATCGGACAGGTCGCGAGGAAAAGCGAGTTCGTGGGGTCCTGGATCATCACGGCCCAGATCTCGGGGTACAGCGTGTACCGGAGGATGGACATGGAGAGCACTACAGCAAAGAGAACGATATTGAGAATGAAGAAGACGATGGATACATAGTGCAGGTATGTATGTCCAAATGGGATGATATA